ACCTTCTCATGGAAGAAGAAGATGAAGTTCCTCTTGGAAAAATGATGCCAAATTTTTCATATGATAAATCATACTACTGATAAATGCTATTATAAGGCTGATTTGAACTGCACTCCCAACATCAACTTATAAATATTTAACTCAGAGGCCATGTCAATATGACTCAACTAGAGCAGCATACCAACAATAAGTTTTCAAGTAGCTGCAGTGTTGCATATTCCTCTAAGGATTCGTTTTAGATTTCCAGATTTTGGGACAACCAATTATGTCACATATTGAAAATCTCAGCATAACATCTGAATATCAAGGAAGTGGGAAAGTTCATATTAGAAATGGGACAGATTTGGATATTTCTCATATTGGTAATTCTATAGTCAGTTCACAATCAAATCATAACATTCATACCTTTTTTAAAAACCTTCTCCGTACTCCAATAATTACCAAAAATCTAATAAGTGTGTCTGAGTTTTCTAGAAACAACAATGTTTTTTTTGAATTTCATCGAAACTTTTGTCTTGTGAAGGATCTTCAATCAAAGACAACCTTACTTGAATGAAAGCACAAAAGTGTCTTATACACATTCAGTCTTTCTAGCAATAGTGGAGATGAGAACCAACCCTTCATCAATTTTTTTTTCTTTAAAAAAAAAAAAAACAGTTCATGATGTGAATGTAAACTAAGCTAAATCTAGGAGTAGTTTCTCAGTTAATCACTCAAGGTTAGGACATCCCTCTTTTGAAGTTGTTAGAAGAATTCTGCAACATTGTAGTTTCAGTTTCAATGATGATGACATAAACATCGTTTGTTAACCTTGTATGAAAGAAAAAGTTATGTTCTTCTCTTTTAGAATTCTACTAGTGATCATTATGTATTGTCAGGTCTTATTACATTGATCTTTGGAGGCCTTCCCCATCATCGCTAGAAATAGTTACAACTTACAAGCATTACATAAATTTTGTTGACCATAAATTCAGATATGTATGGATTTTCTTTCTGAAATGTAAACAAATGTTTATTCAAAGAAAGGTTAAAATCTTTCAAAGTTATGAAGGGGTGAACGAGCAAATGGCCCATTCCGACTCCCAGTTGGTCATTGGGAAGGTTTTAAAAAATTGTGAGGTAAAAGAGAGTCGTATGATCAAGTATGTTTAGGAAATCCATGGCCTTGTTCAAAATTTCATCATGACTAAACTGATTCTGATACAAGGGACGGAAATTCTGATTGGCTAGCTAGTATGGCTAGCTCGAGTAAAGGAGGGGTTAGTAATGTCATTACAATACTTCATTAGGAAATGAGCATTTTAGGAAAGGTAAAGGACATTGACAAAATTGAGGATTGGAGAAACCCTATGAGGGAGTTTCTACAAAGAAGCATAGCATTAGGAAATAAACTCCAATCTGAGCATGCAACTAGATAACTATCAAAGTACTTTGAGTTGGAAGGTGTTTCATGCAGAAGATCATATGTCGGAGCACACATAAGGTGAGTATCGGAAGAGAATGGTGAATATATGTTGAAAGAAATTCATGATGGATGTTGGGGAGCACATGCAAGAGCGCGAGTTATCATAAAAAAAGCATTGTGGGTTGGGTTTTACTGGTCAGGAATGCAATCTAAGGCCACCAAGTTGGTGCAACAGTAGAAACAATGGCCACAACACAGACAAATCACATATCTACCTGCTAATGGAATGACCATGATAAAATGCCCCAATCCCCTTTCACAATAGGGGATAGACCTAGTAGGACCTCTATTTGTTGGATCTGGACAACGGTAGTCCTTTATTGTTGCGGTAGACTACTTAACTAAGTGGGTGCGCATCACTGAGGAGATGAGTCATACTCTGTTTAAAAATTTCTACTGTTATTCGGTGTGAAAATTCTAATTTTAGATAAAACAACACAATTCCAAGGAGCCAAAACTAGAGCCTGGTTTAAGGATATGGGAATTGAACAGTGTTTGGAATCTATCGCCCATCCACAAGCAAATGTCCAGGTCGAGCTTACCGCGTTCCAGTGCGACCTGACAGCATGCTCTGCGTGTTTCTCGTGCAACCCGTGTCCCCAGCAAACGCGTCTCAGTGTTTAATGCCCGGAAGCTCATGTACCATGCGACCTAGGCCTTCTCAGCGTGCAACCAGCATGTGACCAGGCCCAAAAGGCACGCCCAGCATAGCCCAGTCCGCAATCAGGCGAACAGTCCCGCTCAGTCTGCATGCAGCACACCAGACCCGGTTCAGCCTAGGCGCAGCAAAAGCACTCGACCAGGAAGAAACAAGAGCCGACGATAGAAATCGAGTGTAGCGGGCTGAGCAGGTATCGAACACCCTTGAGTAGCAGCGAATAGTTGCGGCTGAAACCACCACTGCCGGTGAGACCATGTCTGACCCAACCGTCACAACGACTGAGCTTCAATGAGTCCAGACAATAACAGATGGAGATCAGCGGCGGTCTGAGGCATTTTTCGAGGATCGAGAGCTAGAGCAACGACAGACCCGAGACCTTTCCTCAAGCGTGTGGGCACCAGCGCTACAGCGAGTTGGATCTTCGCGAGGCTGCGAGTGACCGTGTCCGATCCGCCCCTTGTGCGTGTAGTCCCGAAGAGAGGTGACTTTCACCAAATCCTTTTATTTTGTGAAATTCAAATTTTTCGAGTTGTGTTTAAAGTGTGTACATTATGAAAGTTGAACAAGCATGGAAAAAATTGAGATTATATTGATGTGAATGAATTGAGGAATATTTTTGTTAATTTGATCCTTGTTTGATTAGTTCGGATCTAACAGTTTGAGAATATATATATATATATATATATATATATATATATATATATATATGTGTGTGTGTGTGTGTGTTTGTTTAAATTGGTAGAATAAAGTAGACTCAGAACCTTTTTTGTTGTTGCCTTGCAAGTATGTCGAAACCCTTTGTTTGTGATGTTATTGTGATACTTCTGCACCCTTGAAATTGTAAATTGTTGAGCTGAAATCTTAAATTGTGCCTTGAGAGTGTTGTTGAACCTTTGAATCGAAAGCCAAACCTTGGTCGGGTGTAGCCACGTGGGTGGTGGCCGAGCATGCATGCCCGTGCTGAGAGAAGCGAGGCCACGTGCGGGGACGACTGTCAACTCGCATGAGAGGTGCAGCCGCCGTCACAAAACTTACGAGCTCCCCAGACCAACGAGTGTGGCCGAATCTTGACCCGCAGCGAGTCTCCGAGCATGTGCGCGCGAACACGTTCCACCGCCCTACGTCAGCAGCGTTAGCGAGTGCGTCGCCTCTCGGTGACATCGCAGCACGACCCGTGCCCAGACACGGCTAAGTCGACCTGCAGCTGCCGATGTTGCTGAAGCATGATGGCAACAAGTGTGTAGACGACGTGCCAACAGCAGCGCGCGATCGGTGTCAGCACAGTCGGACTAGAGCCAACGCTATCCCGTGAGCCTAATGAAGTAGCTAAACCACTTTTGCACTGTGTGAACCATTTTTGGTGCGGAACCTTATTTTAGCCACGAGAACCTTTTCCGAGTCTTTTTCAGAGAGTTTCGCGTTCCACTAATTTGTTAGATATTCTTAATCTCTACAGTTATTGATCAAGTTAAATTTAACATTTTCTGAGTTTAAGGGCAAGTTATTTATAAGAGTATTCTTGCCTTAAATTGTAGATTTCGAGGAGTTGACCTCAAGCGACTGTGTGTAGTATCTACAATTCAGCATCATCCGGACCAGGTGGGTGTTGATAAAGTACTATGCTTTTATTCCTTATAATCGTATGGTTCATAACTGAGATATGTATATGACTATGTGCTACATAATGAACTTGACTATGTGAATCAGACTGTGTGATATGAATATGACTGCGTGACAAAAGTACTAAGAGGTGCGGTGCTATGAAAAGCATTGACTGTGTGGCACCTTTGGTACAAAATCATTGAGAGGTGTTGGGCTATGAGAAGCATTAACTATGTGGCACCTCCGGTGTGATCTCCCATCGTTGAGATGAATTGCCAAGAAGAGCAGTCGAAACAATTGTGATCAATGTGATAAATCTGTACAGTTATGAGCTACGTGATAAATATGTGCTATTATGAGCTATTTGATAAATTTGTACAGTTGTGATCTCTGTGATAAATCTGCACAAGTATGAGCTATGTGATAAATCTGTACAGTTTAGATCTATGCGATAAATCTGTACACTGGTGATTCATGTGGTTAATCTTTGTGGTTGATCTATGTGGTTTATCTATGGGAGTCATTACATATTGAAGTTATTCACCTATTATTATAATGAATATATTGCATAGTTCCAACTGTGAGCTTATGTTTGCTCACCCCTCATACATTAACATTTTTGAGGACAAGTAGCTGTGGTGGTCACGAGGAGACGAGGGTTGTCGTAGTTGTTTATCAAATGTTTTTACTTCTGCATTAAGTTATTTAACTTTGTGTAATTTTGATTTTAAATATTGAAATCTTTGGCTTGTGAAAGGATTTTCAATTGTATTTCTTTGTGAAAGAGAGTTTATTTTTTACTCGAGTTTTATACAGGAGTTTTTGAGTAACGTCCAAAAGAGTTTTAACTTGAAAATGTTTTGAAAAATTTAACATTAATTTTAGAAATTGAGTATTTTCTTTAAAATCTAAAAGAGCATTATACTCTCGATGATTGAGATCGATGAGTACACATCAAAGATAATGCATATGATGATTATGATTGATTCGACGTGTTCCACGGACATTTTCATATACCCGGAGGTCGAGTATGTGCCTTGGTTCGTAAAAACTTATCTCTTCTCCTGGTGGTTGTTGAAATCCGTGCTCGATTTTACAAGAACTCGGCCACGATAGTTTATTTGACCCGCCTCTATTCTGTTCTACCATCTCGTTTCCTCTTGAAAAATACAAAGGCGTGGCATCACCAGCACACGCGTATTAAATTCATTATAATTAAGTTACATCACCCGCACACACATATTAAAAGAAGCGAGTTAGAAGTACTAATACCTGCGCCGACATTATAAATATGATGGGTGATGACATTAAGTGAGCCGACAGTTTTATCAATGAATTGGGTGTACCAGTTCTTGTTAAAGAATCCTCCGGGTGCCATCACCAGTGGTGTCTTCATCGTAACATTCATGTATAAATCTTTTATTAATTGGTGTAGGGCAATGGTATCATAGGCATACTCAACAACATCAATTTCCACTCCTATTTCATCGTCTCCACTCAATTCGTTACCTGAGAAACAAAGAAACACAACATAATACATATATTTCATTCAACTTTCAAAGTTAAATTTACTTTTCCAAAAAAACATTAAGACGGACAAAATAGGGAGGGAAAGTATGATGTATGACCAATTCTTGGATATAATTTTTTTTTTATATGATTGAATTTTTTGGTTTAATTTGGTTAATTTTGAAAAAGGTAGTATGATTAGTTGTTAGTTGGTATATTAAAATAATATTTGAAATAAAATAATTAAAGTTGATTTGATATAAAAGTAGGAGAGAGATGATTTGAAGTGATAATTATTTAAAATTATGTGAGTGGATAAATGGTGAATTAAGGTTAATGTGATGTGTGGGAATAATTGGTTGATATTATTTAACTATATTGATAATATTAATGATGGTGGAGTTGAATTAAAGTTGAGTTAAAAAAATAATTAAGTTAAAAATATTTGAATTTTTTGGAGTAGATTTGTATCCAAGCATCCTCTTAGTATTTTCTTTAGTTTCACGGTTTCTTCTAATTCTGTGTTATTCACTTAGTAATGCAGAGATCCTAAGAAAAAAGGTTCTTTAAGGCAATGATTATGGCTTGACCTATCAACAAAAAGAAATCATTTCCTTTTTCTTCTTTATAAATATTTCCGGCAAACATTATTACACTTGCATTTTGAATTTCTTAGCCATCACTACTCTACCCTACTCACTTTTTGACTTATGGAACACCGAAAAAATTTCGTTCTTATCTAAAGTCTAGCCATCTTTTGTCTTATGCTAATTTCATTGGCAAATAGCGCTCACTATAGAAAAATGTTTTGAGTATAGTCTATGAATATTGAACATTTTAAGAAAAACTATTTGGTGCTTTAGGATGTAAAATATTTCATATTTGTGAGTATTAGTATGTTACCCGTAAACATCAACATGATCTTACTTGCTTCAATTTTTCAATAGAATTGTCAAGTAAAACACAACTAATAGTTACTAACTTCCCCATAAATTGTTATACTCATTTTAAATAGAGTCAGTTTTAACAATGATATTTCCCTTTTAAATTATTAATATGTTACGCAAAAGATTGGAGAATGTTGATACGTACCAAGTTCCCAACCAAAAATATTATTGTAACCCTTTTCAATTGTGTATTGTATAAGAGATGCAGCATTCATGGAATGCCAAAGGCCGGTTGCCTTATTGTTGTATATTGTTTTTCCTCGAAGTGCATTTAATCCGAAGATAACGAGAGCACTGTGATTTGAACAACAACAAGAATGAATGAGCTTAAAATCAATAGCGGTAAGTTGCATAATATAAATTCAAATTTACGAGGAAAACTGAATGATTTTACCCAGATTTGGCGAAAAACAAATTCAGCTCGTCCCATCTCCTCAGCGAAAGACATCCTTTGGTAAAACCAAACATCTCCAATGCATTTTTCTTGAAAGGAACGCATTTTCTGTTGTTGTGTGTAGTCTGATAGAAGACTTTGTTTTGCAGAGTACCGCCCAATCTAATTTTCAACGGCGAAAACGCTGCATGATTTAAATTATTATTAGTTTTTTATCATCTACCCCAAATTAAAATAATTATTTCATGCGCGATCCATGCCAGAATGTACAGTACCTTTAACCGCGTTAAAGAAGATTGAGTTATTGAGATCCTGTATTAATAAAGACGCCACAACAACATTTGATTACAAAAGTTGCAATAAATAAGTAGATCGAGCAGAGAGAAACGGATATAAACATGAAACAGAGAAATGGAGGGAGAAGAGAGAACCACATTAAGCAAAGAAGCATATCCCCAGCTACATTTGCCATAATCACACTTTTCAGGCGGCCACCAATCCAACGTGGCACATATGAAATCTTCATCTGTCGATGAAATTTTGATCGCATCATCTATCAAAACGACACCGTCTTCAACAACAGTAAAACTAAACCCGCAGCACACGACATAAACCCACACCCACACCCACACCCACCGCCTCTGTGAAAAAACAATGTAAACCATCCTATATGTATTTATTGTTATGTAATTAGGCCACTGAAAAAGATTCATGCAAAATGTACTACGAGGAAAATGACAAGAAATAATGGAGAGGAATTTTCAATTGCAGGTTAAATAGGATTACATAGTAGTTGTAAAAGGATTAAAGTGTCATAGTTTACACATAGGCACTAACAAGTCAAAATTCTAGAATTTATTAATAAAAGAAAGGGTTAATTGCTAAATAAACTTTAATCTTTTTGTGTTTGGCAGTTTTATCCCAATCTTTGGGTAATTGCAATATAATCTCGACCTCAATTTACTTATTGCAAAATTTGGTGCAGAGTGATTGATTTTACGGATTTGTGGATCGATTTTGTGTCCAAGTCTTCCACTGACACGAATTTTTATGCCATCCACGTAGCAAGTTGACAATATCCACGTATTTAATGCATATCCACGCACAAAGCCGAAAATTCTATGTCAATGTAAACTACCGGTGATGAGTATCCTCCCAGATCTGGAGTTAACCGATAATTATGAGCTCCGATCTGTTCGAACCGCCTTCAAATCGACCAATTTTTGAAGGTCCAACCGGTTTTAAGTTCGACTTGCAATAAGTAAATTGAGGTCGAGATTATATTGCAATTACCCAAAGTTTGGGATAAAATTGCCAAACGCAAAAAGGTTAAGGTTTTATTTAGCAATTAACCCTAAAAGAAATAATTACATTTACCCAGCTTTGAAGACGAAATAGATTTTATATACCGTCAAATAGTAAATCAATTTTTTCACCCTATAAAGTGCTAAATAAATTATACAATAAACTATGCGACCGGCAAGCGAAAATAATTAATAAAGTGTGAAATAGTTATACCACCAACTATGTTACAAACAGGTGAACATAATTAAAGTGTGAAACAATTATGCTATAAACTATGCCGGTAAACCGAAGATAATTAATAAAGTGCGGAACAGTCTTGGCGAATAGGTATGCGATAGACAAAAAAGTGATGTTGGATAGGATTTTTCGAAATGTTTAGGGCACTTACGTTATCACAAAAAAAAAAAATGAGTCGAATGTACCTTCGTATCATACGTACCTTGAACAACTCTCAGCAGCTATGTACTCGACTTCAACAGTATAGAGTGAGATTCAATTTTGCTTTGTGCAACACGAGATTAGTTCCTATGTAAAAACAACCACCAAGAGTGTTTCTCTGATCTTCTAAGTTTCGAATCCAATCTACATCACAATAACCTACAAGACTCCAGTTCGTATCAGCATAACAGAAAATCACTTAATCCGATGTACCTCCCACGTATTTAATGATGTGCTTAACAACCATCAAGTGGGATTCCTTAGCATCAGACTGATATCTAGAAAAAAAGATCAACACAAAAACAAATGTCAGATCTACTAACAGTGATATATAGAAGAAGTCTAATCATATTTCGGTAAAGAGTTTGATCAACAGATGTACCTTCATCGTCCTTGGACAGTTTGACATGAGCATCCATAGGAGTCTGAGGATTTTTTGCATTTTCAAGACCAAACTTTTTAACAAGGTTTTTAGCATATTTACTTTGATGTAAGACGATATCATCTTTACCTTATTTTACCTAAAGTCCTAGGAAATACGAAAGGTCACCCCCAAGACTCATTTCGAACTCCAAAACATGAGTTTGAAAAAGTGATTGACCAATTTCTTTGATGTTGATCCGAAGATGATTTCGTCAATATAGATCTGAACTACCAGAAGATCGTCATTTGTTCTGAGTGCAAAGAAAGTATGATCAACTCCCCCTCGCTTGAACCCCTTCTCAAGAAGGTACATCGTGATATGTTCATACCAGGCTCGGGCTGCTTGTTCCAGTCCATATAGCGCTTTCTTGAGTATGTACACAAGATTAGGTTTCCTATGATCCTTGAACTCTTCAGGTTGTTCCACATATGCTTCCTCATGTAGGATTTCATTGATAAATGCTGATTTCACGTCCATTTGGTACACAATGAACTTCATTAGACATAGAATTGACAAAAATATACTTGACGATTCAAGTTTGGCTACTGGAGCAACGGTTTCATCGAAGTCAACTCCTTGAGTCCAAGTGTATCCTTGAGCAACCAGTCTAGCCTTGTTTCTGGTAACGTTCCCAAATTCGTTTGTCTTATTCTTGAAGACTGACTTTGTTTCCGATAACGTTCCCTGATGTAGGTTCAGGTACTAATTCCCAGACGTCATTCTTACTGAACTGCTCCAGTTCTTTTTGCATAGCAATGATCCAACACTCATCTTTCAATGATTATTTAGCGAATAATTGGCTCTACTAGAGAAGTGTAAATAGCAAAGTGAGGATTCCTATAACTTCTTTAATGTTAGTTTTATAAATTTATTGTTACCCTCTAGTTCAAGTCGCCAATAACCAAATCAAAAGGATGTTCTTTTTGAATCCTTGGGGGAGGATCCCTTTTGGTTTCAGCCATATTTCCTGATGATGCAGGTATATGGCATTCTATGTGGATCTTCTGCACACATCTAATTTCACATGAACATTAATTTTTCTAGACTTTTGACGTAATCAACTTTATCTTCCTGAGAACTCACAACATCATTTGACATATTAATAAGAACAGGAAAAAATATCTTTTTTTTTGTCCTATGACCGACTATAGCAGGTCATTGTGCCTATGTGTAAATTCATTAGTTGTCTTTTTTTTGTGATCATGTGGCTGCCTACTTGTAAATTCATTTATTATCATTATTTATTTATTTATTTATTTTGCTTAGTTATGAGCCTACATGTGATTTTTTATTTAACATTATTTTTTTTTGCTGAGGTGGCAGTTAAGGCAAAATTATAAAAAAGCAGCCATAACTAAGATCTCAACCATGCATCTCCTGCAACAAAAGAAGTGCATTACCCCACTTAATCTACAAAATCTTATGTTTTCCTTCTGAACTGGAATCATGAATTGGATTCGAACCATTATCTCTGTGCGACTTTCCCTTCGCGTCGATCATGATGGGAAGATCCCACTGCCCAGGATCTCGACACCCCTCCCACCTTTCGGAGAGATATTTGCTTTAAAAAAGTATCTCGTGAATACTTGACTTCATATATATATATATATATATATATATATTGTTAGAGGTATGCTGTAAAAGCTATGTTTTGCAGATTCTATCAATTCCATTTTGATCTGGCAATCATGTTTCGGTCAAAGTACATATGTTTGCAGTTTATTTATTTATGCAATACATACTCCATGTCTTATATTGAGGTAGTGTGGTTCGAAGAGTTTCAAATAGAAAGACCACCTATCGGTTCCTTATAAGACTAAACTATTCGTTCACAGTCTA